GGTTGCGCTGTAATTCGTGTCGGTCCTTGCTGGGTCGCGCTCTGAGGGGCCCGGTGAAGGGCACTGCGGGGGAACGGGCCGGCCCTACCCCGATCATCTCCACCCGCGCCTTCCCCTGCCCTGATCGCCCGCTGCCTGCGGCCGGATCACCGCTCACTGCCCGTGCCCCGATCACCGCCCGCTTCCCCTGCCCTGATCGCCCGCCGCCTCTACCCTACTTTTTCCTGCGATGTGTCCACACAGCCCTTTGTAAATAGAAGGGAACAAACTCTGAACCAGCAGAATGCGAGCCGGCGGCAGGCCAACAGCCATGTGACGGCTCCCACATAGCGTTGACGCAGTCCCAGAGTTTTTTTGGGTTGAAGTGTGAGTAGGGTTTGTCGGTGCCACCTATAAACACAGTGCATGCCCGACCCATGGGGCAAAGACGTCTAAGCAGGGAAAGAGAAACCTTTTCCCTGGTTCCAACTTGAATGATTTACATCTCATAAAAGAAATAATTACCCATATGTGCTGGTACGTTTTCTTCTCCCCTGCTAAATCAAACTCAGCATTGGACCAACTGAATTTCTATCTTTGCTAAGTATTTTCATAGTTTAGGTAAGTTCAGTGGACAAAAATAAATGAAAGTTGAATGCAGTTTGGAGGAAATTTTAAACTGTTTGCACAAAGTTCAGATGGAACAGTATTTTAAAATAAAAGCGGAGTGAGAGGGGAGAGAGGAAAGCAAAATGTTTTTAATAGACCAGTGGAAAACACGTGATTGAAGAAAAGACAAATTCATGCATTACTGCTGGAAATAAACCAGGTTAGTGTTTTGCTGACCCCTGCAAGATTGAGTTGCTGTGTGGTAAAAGTACAGAGGACAGATTAAAAAAACTTCAGTTTTAGGCAAATTGTGAGAAAACTGGGAAGAGTGATTTTGGTTGTTTTTAAAATTTATTTAATTTGCATATTCAACTTAATTAAAGTGAAATATGAAAGACACAGATTAAGAACATGCCTTCCAAGCCCTACTGGAAAAATAACCTTGTTGCAGGGTGGCTTCAGTGTAGACTTGAGGCTTCATGTCCTGCTCCACAGGGCAGCAAGAGAGATTTTCAAACTATGTTAAGTATAGGGATTGTTACTGTCCATAAGAGTAGTACTTCCAACAACATCTGCTGGTTTCTTAAAATCTTTTTCTTTGTAGTTTTAGAATTTACTATTCCTGTATTTGTAGTCAGAATGCTTGTAGTGTTGCAATACTGTTTTCTATGATACTTAATATTACAAGTATCAGCATTGGATATCGATACTTACTATTCTAAGTGTCAGTATTGGATGTCAAGAACAAATTTTATTGTGAAATTATGCTGCAGCACCCTACTACCTCAAAATGGATAGAATAGAAAACATTTGTAGAACACTTTTAGTATTTGATATAATGTCTACTTACATTTTGCTGTTTGCTCAGTTAAATGAGGCAACATTCAGATCTCAGTTTCTAAAAGATGGGTGGTCAGTTTCAAATAAGTTACCTGGTTTTTGTTAGTAGGCATTTTTTATTAAGGTGGTTTCAGGTATTGGACTTCTTCAAGCCTCTGCTTCTTCAAAATTTGTAACGCCTTATCAAAATCATGTAAAATTTAAAGTCAAATCACTGGACCATAGATCTGAACAAAAGGCAAACATTGCCTCTAAGAAATACATTTTCTGGCTCGGTCCTGGAGTGGTATTTATGTCTAACTTAGTTGAATTGAATTTGAGTTGCATTGTTTTTTAAAAATTTGAGGAATCAAATCTACCCTGAGGATAATTGCAATATTGAAATTATTGAACCCAGTGCTACAGCTAGGAAATAAAAGATGCAGATTACTTGGCACCCGAAGCAGAACGCAGAACTCTCAGTTCTCTAGGTCTGTTTCTCAGCCCAGCAGGAGAGCTTTCCAAGAGACAGCCTGGAAAGCGGCATGCACCCTGAACAGAGGGCACACGCCTCCAGTCCTTTTTGACTCTGGGGCTGTAGGGATGGCTGTTGAGAATTGTTGTTTCCTCTCATTATTTCCAGCTCTTCTGTAGGAATCAGTTTTCTAAGATGTCATGAGGGACGGAGTTCCACACCGTTGCCAGGCACTTAGAGCAGCCCTCTGCTCACCTGCTGCGTGGAACAGGACTGCTTCCGCCTACCCACACCAGCTTTCAAGGCTCTGGACTTCCCATGGGAAGCTTTGGATGCTTTCTGTTGTTCTCCCAGTGCATGTTATGAAATACAGGCAGAGACTCAGGGAGCAGAATCTCAGACACTTGAGTGTTTGCCGAGATTAATTGATTAATCATTGTTACTTGCTGAGAATGAATATATGTACAGTATTTTAGAATGGCTCTGGGTAAATCATACTCTAATTACATAGTGTAATTCCACTGCAATTTTGTGATAAAGTCCTGTTGCAGGATGGTATGTGAAGAGGAGGTGTTAAGTTTGGCTGTTAAACAGCAGTTCAATGTACACATCTTGTAAAATTCAGCTAGTGTCATCTTGAAAGATCAGCACTTTCTTTGTGCTCCTCTCATTTATTTAACTTTATTATGATACCTATGCTGTAAGAGGGCTGTTGTATCTCTCACCACATGCTGAAAGCTAAGGAAACTGAGCAGTTTATTCTACATATGTTATCAAACACATATTTGGATGTTACTAGCAAACATGTATGTCTTAACATTTGCCTAAAATGTAAAAGAACAGTTGACCTCTTCAGAAGCAGCACTCAAGAACACTTTTCATTATGACTTGAGTTTTATATATGAAGCAGTGTACCACCGTGAGGCTTTAAAGGGAATAAACTTAATACACAATGTCTCAATCCCTGTGTTTTTAATAACATTCTTGTAGTCAATAATGAGGAATTTGACACATTCCTGCCAATCTACACAAAGAAGCTATAATACTTTTTGGGACGATGTGCATCCAAAAAGCAGCTTCTACATATTTACCATGCATTAGTGAACTGAACAGTACAATGTTTTGCGAGGAGTTAAAATTCTAAACAGCAAGCTTCTATAAAACTGATAATGATCATCATTATTGTTATTATTTAGTATCTTGTTTAAGGTAGTGATTAATTTTCATTTATGAGTACTGTTAACAAGTGTGATGAAATCCGAATTACTTTCCACATGCAACATGTACACAGTTTTATACTTTCCTATGTGGTTTTCACACTATTTTTTTCATTTGTCAGAACTTAATACATTAGATATGGGAGTTCAAAGAGTAAAGAGTTACTTCTTCAGTTACAAACAGCAGAATAGCAGTATTTTTTTTCTGGTGGAAGTTTTTTTGTTCCATTTTTAAGTCAGGATGTGAAAGCGATCAGTCAAGCTTTCTTTAATAATGATTGCAAAGGTTGAGAACTGCCTTCATCTTACATTATGGGCAGGATCTTTTCTCCCTGCATTATGCTTTTATAAGGGTCGAAATCATAAGAGTGGTTAGGAAAGTATCCTCCAGGGCAAACACACGAGTAATTGTTAAGTGGTAAACAGGAGGAAGAGAATGCACATTATGGGAAGATTTAACTTATCAATCAGTTAGGATTCAGTTTTGTTTAATGTATCAATAACTGGATACACCTTTATGTTACTTTTAAGTAGCAATATGCGTTATACTAGATGATGTGAGACTGAAATGAGTATGAGTTGCAATTTTCTCCCTTACTTATAAAATCTGTTGTGCCCCAGTGCTTTAATTCCTTAAGGCTTCAGTGGATATTTTGGGTAGGTGCGTTTTTAGTAAATGGATTGCATGTTTTGTTCTACATGCAAAAGCAGCATCAGGGTGGTCATTAACATTAAATGCGCAGAGAAACATTCAAGAATCTTGTTTTCCATACTTTGGAACTCCCAGCACTGCCCTATACATTTGGTTTCTCTAGAATGGTTAACCATGGGTAATGCCATTTCAATGTGGAATATTGTTACCAAAATGATACAACAGTGCAGTTAAGTGTCATGACCTGGTAGGTTTTTGGAATAGGGCAGATGTCTAAGCAAGAGTAATCAAAGTGGGGAATATTAAGTCCTTTCCTTGAACTGTCTTTTTCATTTCCTAGTCTGATGAGAAGGGAGAGCAGGATTTGTGGGGACGGAACTTGTCCAATAGTGACTGACAAGGTGTGCCCCCTTCTTTCCCTACTCCCTCAGATCTGGCTGTTGACGTAGCTGCTGCTGTAGGTGTTTGGTTTGTTTTGGAATCTTCCAGAGGATTCACCAGAAAACAGGATGTAGTGCATCTGTCTGTATCCCAGCAAGATAAAGCTGCCAAAGCTGGTCGCTCTGCCAGTCACAGTTGCAGGCTCCCAACTTCAGCACAGAGTGTTCACTCTTTCTTTCCTAGAACTTGCTAACAGCTGTCCTCTAGATAGCGTTGAGTAATATTAGGCTAAGTATATTTATCTTACATTTTTAAAAAAATACATATAAGATTGAAATATGTTTTGTATACTCAACATGACAAGGAACAACTGTTGGGTGTTTGCTTTACTGTATGTATTTCTTACCCAATTGCGTTTTGCAGTATTTTGCCCCAAGATCTTTTAGACTACTTTTTTATTCCAGTTTTGCTTATTCTCACAGTCTGGGCCAGAATGCTAAAACAGGCTTTGACACTTTTAAGAGGAAATGATTATTATTCATAAGTGCTGATGCACAGCAAATGGTACTTTAACAAGTGTGAAATGTTTTTTCTTTAGTGGACTTAAAACAATCAACCAAATCGTTGTTAGTATTACATATACAGGCATGCATGCACAGACATGCTCAAGAACAGATGCAGACTTTCCTCTTTTCCATAAATCCTAATTTCCTAGGGAAGCAATGATGCATTTGCTCTGTTGGTGCATCTTTGTTGGCTTGCTAGTCACTCATGGGTCCACTGTGACCCAAATTTGAAGCGAGATTGTGGAATAAATAAGGTATCATTAAACAGCTGAACCAAGCCAGTGGCTTGCTGGTATGAGGAGAGATTTTAATTCCTCCTTTCCAGCCGAGACCTTGTGCATACTCCTGAGCTGGGCCCTTTACCTCTATGAATTACAAGGAAAGTAACCCGGAAAAAAAAGAAGTGGGTTGTTTTCTGACTGTTTATCAAGATGGAAGGATAAGGTCGGCACCCATGCTTGACTGAGGGAGCAGGTGGGGCTGTGAGGCAGGAAATCAAAGGGACAATTGAATCCTATCTCTTAACAGAAGGTGTTATATGTTAGATGTGCTTCATTTTCTTGTAATATCAGAGTTCTTACAAATCTCACAAAGAAGACAGGAAACTAGATAAGGAAAGAGATTATTACTAGGGCTCCCAAAAATGAAAAAAGTTGGAGCTTATGCTTTTTTTGGCACCAGAGAGCTCAGGTATGGAACACAGTCTTCCTAGGCCTCATTGGTTCTGACACTGGTTTTGATGATTCACTTTTAATTGTATTCTGGCAGTTTTGGGTTAAAAAAAATCAAAAGTTAACAGTGTGTTTCAAATTTGTGAAACAGTGTTTTGACTCAATGTTGTTTGACCTGAATTCAGGGTACCTCTGGCCTTCCTGATGTTTCCTTCACAAAGTTAACTGTTGCTTTGCTTCAATTTTCACTTTTTTCCAGTGTTAAAGAGTGGCTCTTCAGCTCCTCATTTATCTTCTGCTTTCAGTTTGATTTTATTCTCTGATAGGAATTCTTCTAAAGCATTCTTCCTATTTGAATAGTAGTAATATTACTGTATTTATTTATATCCATATTTATATATGGAATATAAATTCCATATATACCCTCCTAATTAATTTTTGTTGTTGCGTCCACTGCCACCTTTTAGTCTTCTCTTCTGGCCTGGTGGTTAACATTTTTTACTGTTTTGCTCTGATGAAGCAGTCTAGGATTGTCGGAAAAATCACTTTGATATCCATTTTAGAATATTTTGTAGCGGTACTGGTAGATTTGCTTACTGTCACCTCAGGCCCTCACAAAAAGACTGTGTCTCACACTCCCTGAGCACTGGCATGTGTTGGTCTTGTACCACAGCCCTCACAGCCAAGCCTAGTGCAGTATGGAAAAGTTCAAGGAAGATCCAGACAGTGACTGTCAATGTATGTGGGATATCAGGGAAAAATGATAACAGTTAGTACCATGGGATTTTCTTAGGGTCCAGGAGAGCTTTTTGATGGTGCTGTGAAAAGTAGACTGCTGTAGGATTTTTCACAAAGAGCTTTAGTGGCTTTGTCTAAATCAGTAAATATTTTTGAGTTAATAAGATCTGGAATTAACTCATATCAGGGCTTATCAGGTGGTTTAGAAGCTGGACCACTTTGTTTCATGCTGTTATGTCTCTAGAGAGTTTGCAAAAGTTTGAGTGACATGATTCTACAACTATTAAGCTAGCTTAATTGATATATAGATCAATTAAAAAATTCAAGTTATGAAATAGGGAATTATGGTGGGTGAAAGGAGTAGGTATCTGAGGGGTTTGTAGTAGCTCTACATCCAACTGAGTGTGACTTACTTTTATACAAGATGGTGAAGACAATCTCATGTTATCTTCTTGAAGATGCCCTTTACAAGGTTGTATATAGGGGCCATGTGGAAGATCAGCACATCAAAGAGTATCTTGTCTTCAAGGGTGGCCCAGTAATAATAAGCTGATTTTATAAATCTGTGCATCTTTTGTTTGGGTGCCACCCACTGCAAATCATACAAAATCTAATCCAGAATGGAACCTCATAGTTACCATTACAGCCATTAAATTGCCTACAAATTGCAGTTCATATCTACACAGCATCCAAGTGTTTACAGAGTTTATTAACAGTAATTTGAGATGTAAAGAAAAAATTATTATTCAGGAGAGAGGTACAGACTGTTTTCCCCTCCACAACAGATTCTCTGTCTTTCTTTCCCCATTTCTCTTACTAATTTCATTATCATTTCTCCTCCTGGGCTGTATGTACATTTTTGATTGACTGGTTTTATTGACTTGCACTTGTAAAGCAATAATGCTCTGAGGCCAGGTAAGCATAATGCTGTGTGTAGATGAGCATGAGCAGAGCGTGACATTTTGCCAGTCATCTGCTCATCAGTTGAGAGTGTCAGTTTGCAGCTGCTTGCCCATAAGGGTCAGTGATATCTGATTAATTTGTTTGCTTTGTAGATCTCCAGAGATTTAGAATATCTTTTAGGAACATGTCCAGAGATTGATATTTGCCCCCAAGTAACTTGCAAAATTAGTTTTCAAGTAAACATAAATACAGCTGAGTTTTTCACGTGAGAAGTAACACTAAAATCATGCTAGCACAGTACATATACTCACTTTTCCTTACAAAAACCACATTATTTAGAGACTGACAGAGAAAAAGGACTTACCATAGATCTGTGTGCATTATTCTGCTTGAATGGATGCAATTTATATCAAAAGATCAAAGATTTTTAAGTAAAAACTTATTCATGTATGTTAATATTTATGATGGATTTTCTTTCTGTGATGACTTTGTGTAAACCACAAGGACAACATGAAAACATTTGACTGTAATAACAGTGATTTTGTAAAGGGTGAAGACTTTAATACAGTTAACTTCCATGTATATACTGCCAAGACACTTAACAGAGAAAGTTAGAATGAGTTCACTTTATACCAGAAAAAGACATAGAGTTTTAGCAGGTTCCCTACCTGCTGTATGTTATCAACAATATAGTTTGTATGTTGGCAGGTCTATAGATGGCCGTGAGGGTTACTGAAAATAACTACTGAAAATAACAAACATACAGATTGGGAAGACTGGGAGTTATCTATGGGCTGTTAACTCAATACTTGTAGATGAAAAGTAATTACGAGAGGAGATGTAGATATTTCCTGATTCCAGAAGGTGCTGATATTTATTTTTGTATTTTTGTTTTTTTCCTTCAGTGAGATAGAAGATGAATTCAGCTGAAATCACTGATGATGATGAAGGTAAAATATTATACTTTGTATAATTTTTGATCAGGCAAAAACACTTGTTGATTTAAAGCATTTGTAATAAAGAATGCAATTGAATCAAGACAAATTACACTAATGTTTTTTAAAAAGTTATCTAAAATAGGGCATTATCTTTGTCATTCTTATTTCTGCTCTACATCCTTTCTCCCCTCCAAAAAAACCTTTCTCCTATAACATTTGTTTATACTTTAGATTCTTCTTTGGAGAAGAAACTGTCATTTACTGGAAAATTGAATGATTTGACTTTGAGGTGGCCCCAATATACACTTACCATAGAAGTCATAAAAATAATGAAGTTCTTCAAAACATGTTTTCATAAAAAAAACAAACCACAGAACATTATAGTGAGGATGTCACGGTTTTCTGGAGAGGGTGCTTTATCTTTCTAAATCTTCTCTTTTTTCAGTTAAAATTCCTAAAAAAAATGTGAAAGTAGAAACAGAAAATGAAGATGAAGCTCTAGACTGCTCAGTAACTTCCAGATCTGCTGAGAAACACTCACTGGATGGTGCAGTGACTTGCCTACAGGATTCCAACAAAAGGAAACAGACCTCCCTTGGCTGTGATGGGTCAGGAGGCCAGCAGGATGCCTTACCCAGCGTGAAGAAGAGACGCTTTGTGCAAGAGGTGACTTCTCTATACATGACTGTGATTTTTTGATTCATATTTCCTAGGCTAAATTCACTGCTGCTATAAGTAGAATGCAAGTCTTTTAACTAAATTTGCATTGGTAATGAGGTTGTTGCTAATGTGGCTAATATGAAGCCAGTTTGCACATGGCTGGGTATTCTGTAAATAACATGGGAGTGATCATATTTGTGAAATATGATTATTTCACAAATAGGTTAATTCATTTATGTGAATTATATTTTTGTAGTTCAGCAGATAACATAGGAAGGGGCAGTGATACAGAGTAACTGGGCATGACTGATTACAGTCCCTCCCATGTCACACAGTCCTTCAGCTGATTCCTGAATGGTAGAATCAGGGCTCTAATTCCTTCTTCTGTGACAAAGCTTTAATGTTAGTGAGACCAGTATAAATTAGTGTATTATCTGAAGGATAAAAATGCAGGGATGCAGAAGATTACAGCCATATCAAGAGTGGAGTGTATTACAGCATCTGGGGTAGCATCCTACTTGGGACAATCCAGATGTTTCCCTAGCCAGTGAAGGAGATGCCCAGTCTTTTCCATTATTCTGATCTTGTGTTTCACCTCTCTAGCAATGGCAGATTTTAATTAATCTCTGCTGAAATTGAGTAAGTTTTTGTCCTTGTTCTTTTCAGTAGGGAAAGCAATGATCATCTGTTCCTAGAAAAATCTTCTGCATGTGGGAAAATATGTGTGATGCTGTCCACCCTCAGTCCTTTATTTTTGAGATTAAAATTCTTTTTTTTAGCTCTTGTCAGGAGTCACCTTATACTTTCATTGTTCCATTTGAGAGTCCAGAAAGACTAGTGTCCAGTGTTGGATAGTCACATCTCTTCTGCCACCCTCTAGAGCAGTATAATGACCTCCTGTTTTTCACACTCAGCACTTTATTAAAATAACCTAGATTCAAATTCATCCTCTTTTGAATAACTTCAGGCCCTGGGTTATATTTAGTTTGTGACCTATCGTAATGCACGTATCCTTTTCTGCTCTTCTGCTACCTAGCCAGTTATTCCATGTTGTATTTGCACATTTCATGTCTCCTTTATAGCCATAGTTCTCTGTGATTCTTTTTCTTGACTATCATCTCTCTGACTTCTTAGGGCTGTTTTTTTCCTCTGAATGCCTGTGGTAGGTAGGTTTTAATCTTATTACATGGTTTCTTTCTTTTCCTTTCTCTTTTTCTTTTTACAATTGTTTTCCTTACATTCAGATTCTTAAAGGAGCTTTATAATGGTCTCAGAACTGTGCTTGCTTTGCATTTTCCTGTTTGGCTATTAAAGTTTAATTTGAAATTAGTTATAACTTTGGATTTATAATACCAGAAGTTGACCCAGTAATAACAATGAAAATTCAGTCTTGGCTGACTCCAATGAATCAGCATGTTTAGTTAAATAACCAGAAATAGTCCTCAAGCTTAACAGTATTTTTAAAGTTAATTACTTCTCTAATATCAATATAATGTTTTAATTGATGACTTTATTAACTATTTCTATTTAAACAGTGGAAAAATCTTGATTATTTTAAAGAACGTTGTGCTTGTAGTATATTTTTACTGCATGTCACAGAGGCATCTATCTATGATATAAACAGAACTGTGCTTCTTTAGGGCTGGTAATTTTATTGCTAAATTATTTTTTATCTAAAGACTTCACTTCTTTTTTTTTAAATTTTGAATACCACTTCATAATCAGGAATTAATTTTCCATGATTTTCTTTAAAAAAACAAAGTGGGAAAGACTGTAAGTTTATAAATGTTATGTGCAGGACTTTTCTGTATTATGTGTCTGAAAGAATCTGTTTCTTGCTTGTATATTTATTTATTCTTTACTCCAGTGCTTGAATATTATGTGTGTATTCTTACAGATATTTAGACTTTGTTTATTAAGCATAGCAAAGGTCGTAAATGGATCCAAGCATTGAACAGAACAATAACAAAGCAATTTTTAAAACTCGGCTTAGGACTCCAAGAGAGAATGCAAGAGACTGTTTCACAATTTCTTGTATTGGACCATGTTTTGCAAAATACTGCACTTTGCAAATGTTCATAAAATGTTTAGAACATAAAAAGTTGCTGTACAACTGTAGTATGAAAAGCAGCACTATCTTCTATACATTGAATCGCAAAGAACAATATCTTTGCTTCTTTTTTTTGATAGTACATTAGAAGTGATCATCTTAAATGGGTGCAGTATTATCTGAGATGCATGGATATTTAAAGATCAGTGTTACAGAAAATTAATTTATTAAATTGGAGAATTTACAAAAGCCATGCATTTATGGTGTGGATAGTGATGTTCCCAGATGGAAACTATAGACAAGATAATTAAAAGCAAAAGAAAAGAAAATGAGAATGCATCTGAACTAAAATATCCTTAAATATTTTTAAGGCCCAAATGTTTTGTCATTTGCTAGAACACTGGCTATGAGTTTTTGAAATGCAAATATTCTGAAATGCAAATCCATCCCGAACCCAGATCCAGCCACTGGGAGCTGCAATAGTGAAGGCAAAAGTTCAGCTGCCATCATAGTGAAGATCTACTGTAGTTCTTAGCATGAGCTCCAGAGCACTGTGTCCAAAACTCAGACTGCAAACTTTGATGATCTTGCTGTCAAAATAATTCATGTTCTTTAATACACATTCTAATATTGATTTGGCCTGACTTTGTGAGGTGCACAATAATAGAAATTACCCTTATATTGCCAGGTTATATTATATAATTAATTAGGGAAAATAAATAGCAGAAGGTCAAACGAGAATTGACAGATACCTGATGGCCCGGGAAAACTATTGAGTAGCAAGGTATTGTAGTAGTAGAGAAGGAATTGAAAGAATCATGCAGTTTCTGAAGGAATATTTGGCATATCCTCAGTTAACAAGAGTGTTACTGAAAGAGCAGCTTAGGTGATAGGTCTCACTGGTTGTGTAAGAAATGTTTTGTTTTGTTGTTTAGATCTAAAATAATAAAAAGCTTTGTAATTCAGTTTGACTGGGGAGCAGTATTGTGCTTACTGTTAGTGGAGATTTTCATGGCCTGCTTTCAGGTGATGCCTGTGTGGCAGAGCTCTGTTACCACCTGAAATTACCTCTGTTTCTTCACTGACAAGTACAGGAGGTGTGTGACAACTTCAGTCCCAGCTTAGGAGCCTGCAGTTAGCGGAGGGCAATGTGGATTTCAGTCTGCTTGCAGTTCAGTCACTGTTCTGGCTTTATTATAAGTGGGACTGGAGTGGGACAGTCTTCTAAATAGGGCCTGGAAGTCAGGTGTCATCAGCACCATGACAGCCAGGGATTCTGCACACTGAAATACATTGCCTTGGCATTACGTTTTCATTTCATCATCTCTCCACACAGCTTTGGATGTACAAACACAAGGTTTCGTATGTAGGGTAATATGATGTGAGTGAGAGCAGAACTTGGAAACAGCTTCAGTTTAATTGAATGCTGGTTTCTAAACTTGGAGTGGAAACCAGCTTGTTCTTTCTTAGTGTCCTTTGAGTATACATTGCATTAGAAATTAAAATAATTAGATTCAATTTGTCACTGCAGTAAGAAAATGCCAAGTGTGAGTACACATAGGGACCACATTTATTTCATGAGTTACAGTTCTGCTTCTAAGAAAGAAACCTTAATTCAAGTTCCTCACTGTAGGACATAATGTGGTCTTCACTAGAATTTCAAATTTCTTGGGGCTGTCAGCTCAGACCTGAAGTCTGTGATTCATTTGTTTTAATACTTGAATGCAAATTCTGTTGTTTTTTATCTAACTAATGTTCTGTGGAACAAGCCAAGAAAATAGTTTCAGTACAGAAACATTTACAAATCTGGGAGCGTTTTCTCATGTTTGAATTCTGTATGTTGGATTTTGATTCTGTTGTATCTGTTTAACTTTTAAGAATTATTTGCAATAGCTACATGATTGCAAAAAAAAACCCCAAATCACCCAAGCCCTGTGAGATGATGAAAATGCTTAGTTCCAGTTTCAAGCAATGAGGAATAATTACAAATAATTGACATTAACTACTTATGAATTCATTACTGGTTTTATATAATTTATAAATTATATAAATATATATTGTTTAAATAATTTAGAAAGTTAGAAATCCATGAGTCTAAACTTCCTTGCCTTTCAGAAATGAAGATATTTTCTGTTAGGCCTCCTTTTTAAAAAGATATAGTACCAAGGTACTTCCCACGTCTTTGTTATTTAAGTAGAATACCTTTTAAAAATTAAGTAATTTTTAGGATTTGTTTAGCAGTTCTGTACCATTATAAAGAGGTTTTTTTTAAAAACCTGTATATAAATGTTTCACATCAGAAAAAGAGAATAAGCATATTTTTTGTGGTTTATAGCTTTTGTGACATTTTCAAAAGCTAACCTAAAGAGAGTGCTGGAATGTTAAATGCAGTTGTTGGAGGTAATGGCAAGGTCACAGGACCAGGAGTCAGAAAATCTAGATGCTATTCTTGGCTCTGTTGCTGACTTGTTGCCACCAAAATTCTCTGCAGCCCAAGATCCTCATATGCAAGGTGAAGCCTAATGATACTTAATTTGGGGAGTAATTAGAGCTCTGTGGGTAGAGAGTACTGAGAATTATTATTGCATTTCTATTCCATAGAGAGAGCTGTGAGCCAAAAAAAGGGAAGTAAAAAGGAAACCTAAATAATACCTTACCATGTTTTTATTTTTCTTAGTGAATTTATTAATTTTTATTATTTAACACAACAAGCCCCCTGGAGAAAATTTGACTTTGCATATTTATGTAACAATGCCTGGTTAAGGAGCACAAATGTATAGCTACTATCTTTAAGGCAATCTTACTAATACAATATTTATTCATTTGAAGGGCTCCCTTTCAAACATGAGGAACAGAGATGCTGGCTCACCCACTCAGGTAAATGCAGAGCAGCCAAACAAGAACAAGAATTCTAATGTAACATGGCTCTGTGAAGAAGAATCCTTCAGTGACATAATCACGCCATCTTATAAAAAACCTCTCTATGGCATCTCACACAAAATCACAGAGAAGAAGAACCCACCAGGAGCAGAGCAGTTTGCTTCTTATGAGTTGTTTGAAAAAATCAACCCCAGCAGTCCCTCGCAAATTCGGACTTTGAACGATCAACGCAAAAGAGACTCGGCCACAGCCATTGCAGTAGCAGCAGCCACGGCAGATTCAGAATCAAATATATATTCTTTGATACAGAAAATGTTTTACACGCTGAACACCCTCAATACCAATATGACTCAGCTTCACAGTAAAGTTGACCTATTGTCTCTGGAGGTTAGCAGAATTAAAAAGCAAGTCAGTCCAGCAGAATCCGTTGCTGACTTCAAGCCTCCCCCAGAGTACCAGCTGACTTCGACGGAACTCAAACAAATCATGGATCAAAGCACATCAGGTGGAGACCTGGCTTGCCGGTTGCTCGTGCAGCTGTTTCCAGAGCTCTTCAGTGACGATGAGTTCAGCAGGAGCTGCAGTGCATGTGGCTTTCTCAACAAAAGGAAACTTGAATCTCTTCATCTGCAGCTTATTCGTAACTATGTGGAAGTTTGTTATCCTTCTGTGAAGAATACAGCTGTGTGGCAGTTGGAGTGTTTGCCTCAAGTCAATGATTTTTTCAACAGATTTTGGGCTCAAAGGGAAATGGAAAACAGTCAGCAGAATGTGCAATCATCCAGTTTTTATGAGACTGAGCAGGTTGAATCCTCTCATTTTATTGAGGATAAAGAGCAGGAAGAAGCTTTGTCCTTGGACAGGAGTAATGTCATTGCCTCAGATTACATACTGGATGCTCAGGATCTCAATGAATTTTTAGATGAAGCTTCTTCACCGGGAGAGTTTTCTGTTTTCTTGTTGCACAGACTGTTTCCAGAACTCTTTGACCACAGAAAATTAGCTGAAAGGTACAGCTGCTTTGGAGACTCTGGAAAACAACTGCTGGATCCTCATCGGCTTCAAATAATCCGTAGGTACACAGAAATTTACTTTCCAGATGTGCAAGAAGAAGAAGCCTGGTTGCAGCAGTGTGTTCAGCGAATAAATGATGAGCTTGAAAGTACGTATATGGATGGAAGTGAATGTGACCAGATGAGAGATGACTGTTACGATTCTTCTAGTTTGCCAGATGATGTATCGATCATAAAAGTGGAAGACAGTTTTGAATATGAAAAGCCTGGCAGACGGTCAAAAAAAATTTGGCTTGTACCTATAGATTTTGACAAACTTGACTTTCCCCCTCCTGATTTTGATGTCCCAGTCCCAGATTACCTGTTGAACAAAGAACAGATTAAAAGCATATATGAAAGCAGTCTTTCCATAGGCAACTTTGCCTCTCGATTGCTTGTTCTCCTATTTCCTGAACTATTTACTCATGAAAACTTAAGGAAGCAATACAACTGTAGTGGATCTTTAGGCAAGAAACAGCTCGACCCCACTAGAATTAAATTAATTCGACATTATGTGCAGATACTGTACCCCAGAGCAAAGAATGACAGAGTGTGGACATTGGAGTTTGTTGGGAAGCTTGACGAGAGGTGTCGACGAAGAGACACGGAGCAAAGGCGCTCGTACCAACAGCAACGGAAAATCCATGTGCCAGGTCCCGACAGGAGGGAATTTCTCACCTATGCAATAAACCCTGAGAGATTTCGGGAAGAATTTGAAGGGCCGCCACTGCCACCAGAAAGAAGTAGCAAGGATTTTTGCAAGATACCACTCGATGAACTTGTTGTTCCTAATCCTGACTTCCCTGTGCCTTCTCTGTATTTGCTGTCTGATAAGGAGATAAGAGAGATAGTGCAGCAGAGCCTGTCAGTCGGCAACTTTGCTGCCAGGCTTCTCGTAAGACTCTTTCCTGAACTCTTTACTCCAGAGAATCTGAGACTGCAGTACAACCATTCAGGTGCTTGTAATAAAAAACAGCTTGATCCCATCAGACTGAGACTGATCCGTCATTACGTGGAGGCAGTTTATCCTGTGGAGAAAATGGAAGAAGTGTGGCATTATGAATGTATACCGAGCATCGATGAAAGGTGCCGGCGTCCTAACAGAAAAAAGTGTGATATACTGAAAAAAGCTAAGAAAGCAAAAAAAGTGACAGGCTCTTTAAACTGCTAAGACTTTGACCACTAAATTATTGTCAAGAGTATGCTTTGGTTTAGACTGAAGGGCCTGTTGGGAGCTGGGGGTTCCCAGCACCTGGGACAGTCAGGCACCAAATTTGTTGCGCTTCAGTGTGTGTGTTGCATTTCTGTTGGCACAGCAGCAGTGGGAAGTGGCTGACAACATTTGTACATGGGTAAAGACCATCAGTGACAGCTATCAATGACTCACTAAGAGCATGATATTCACTGGTGCAAATACATTTACTGAAACTATTGCTCCACTCCCCATTTCTGCATCTTCCTTTTCTATCACTTTCTAATAATAAGGAATTTTTTTTTAATGGTTGTGCTCGTCAAGAGCAGTTTTTCATTATACCATTATAAACAGTATTTTTAATTAATTTGGATTTTGAAATGTGTAGACTAAGCTTAATTTAAATTTGAAAGTGCCATTTTCATTTGAAATCATTGGAATATTATTAGACTTTGCTTCTACAGTAACTGCAGCTTCACACTTGTTTTGTTCTTCATGATACTGAGGTACTGAAAGTTATGATGCTGTGTCAAAGAGTAGGTCAGAATGGTGTCCTTTGCATTTTTGACTGTTACGTTAGTTTTATTTCTAAAATCAAGAATTTCCTGTTGAAGAATTGAGACATGAGCATAAACACTGTGTGAATGGGGTTTTTTTGTATTGACACGACAAGCTTGGTCCTGCCCCTGTGAGTCCTGTTATTGTTTTGTCCAATGTAACTGCTGGAGCGACTGAGGATCGCTTGTCTTGAGTAAAGCCAGCAGAACAGACCCAAGCCTATACCCATGGAATGTCTTCCCATCACCTGCTCGCCACCCTGTTTGTAAAACAGCAAAAGCATCAGCAACATCAAAAAGACCCGAAACAAGAACTTTAAAAAATTTTAGACTTTACTTCCTATCAAAATCATGATTCCAAAGGTGTTTCCAGTGTTGATATTGAATTGCATATATTAAAAGTATGTGCAAAGATTGGTTTTGTGGTGAAATCCAGTGTTTCAGGGTCCCAGCATATGAGCTGTGGTAATGTAACTCATTCTTTCCATGAATGCAGCAGCATCTGGATATTTTGGGTGTAGGGATATAGAACTCCCTCACTTTGCCAAATTGTTTTAGTGTAATTAGTAGCTATTTGGAGACATAACTGTGTATGTATAACTTAGGTTCGTGTGGTCAAGTTTGAATCATTAATATGTTCAAGTGTAACAAAGACCACCCAGAACCTGATATGAATTTGCCGTGTGACTTGTCACTGGAAAGTGCTGCTTTAAAACTAATTTTCTCTTTCTTTTTTTAAAAAAATTTAATACTGATAGAAATGGTGAGAGAGAGTCAAATATGAATTCTTAATACAGTAAAGACAGTGGTTGCCTACAGAGCATCACTGGAACACCTTGGAGCAATTGTTGATGTTCTCTGTGGTCCTTTTCTGTTGTTTACTTAGATGGGTCATAGCAAATTTTAAGTCAGTTCCAGTGTAATTTTCTATTTTAGCATTTGTAAGGAAGTATAAAATATTTGATATTTTTACTTCAGATTTTTAGAATTTATTGTTCTTAGACTCATATTGATCCCTTTAAAAGGAAAACAAAGTGTTTTTTCCTGATGGCAAGAACTAGTAAACGTATTGTGTTAAACTGGGAGTAAATCATAGTTAGTAGCATTTGCTCGTTTTCCCCATATGCTAGAAACATTCTCAGAGAATGTACGAAAAAAGTCATGAATGTACTAAATAACACATTGTTTATATCCATTTAAATGTTTCCTGTTGGTTTAAGTAATAGCAGACCATACTCAAAATGGATATCGGAGCAAATACAGCTATAATAAATCAAAATCATTTTACCAAAGATAAAGAACTGATACCACAATGTCTGCATCTGTTCATTTTACTGCATAAATTTATCAAATTGAATGTATCAGAAACCAAGACTCTCTTGTCATTGTATGCTACCTAGAAACTCTGTGAAATTTTTTTTTACATGCACTTTTATGGGATATATAAAATAACAGAAGATCTTAACGACTCTTTAATTTGTGGTTGCAAATGGCTGGCCAAAAGGTAAGAAATACAATTTTATTTTCTTATCTTAATGTCATACGTTTCACCACTTGGTGATGTCAAAGCTCCCAGAAGAATTCAATATATACTGAACATTTTTACAAGGGATAGACGTTACTAGCTAGCATGCAAGACTTTTACTGTAGATGTTGATATTAAGTAAAAAAATCAGTCAATTGATATTATCTAAAAAGTAGTGAAAAAAAATCAGTTTGACAACTTTGACCATAAAAATTATAATTTTTTAGACTGGGTATACAAATACTTTTGTTGTGTTTTTTCCTCTTTTTATTGCTGTGTACATTCCTTTTGTCCAACTCTTCACAACCCTTTCATGATTCGTTTGATTGTATGAGTTGTAACTGATATCAAGAAAATACAGACATATAAATAGTGGCATACTTCACTAACAAAAGTTCTTGCAGTGCATCTGAAGTACAGCCACTTCATCCAGCTGGTCAGTCTTGTAAATATATTAAAGGTATATTATTTTCATACAAGAGGAATGTTGTCTGGTGATTGTTCAGGTACAAGTAGGATTCTTTTTCCTATAAAATCTCTTACTAAGGTCTGAGATAACCTTAGCTAGTCAGACAAATACATAAAGGAAAACACCCCAGTTTCTGCATCCATTTAAAAGGATTTTTCTGTCTTTCAGACTTCTTATGTTTTAAAGGAATAAACTTAGAATTTTGAAAGTGAAACTGTGACAGGTGGGTTGCTAGATATTGAAGTGTTGGGCACCTGCGTTAGCCATGCTTACTGACTTCCAGTGGATAAGCATTACTTTCTACCTACTCAGTTAAGGTGGGTATCAAGTGTCTCTACTTCTTGCAGTGTGAATATATCAGCTTTCCGTAAGTATTGAATAGCCCATTTCTAAGCTTTCTAAAAGAAACAGTGTAGTATGTATCATAATTCTTTATTTTTGCATCTTACGCATTTCCTACAACTTAAACATTTCCTTAGAAGTTCTGTAAAAAATGTAAAACAGCACATCAAAAGGGAGATGAAGTATACATCAGTTTATTGCCCATTAAGTGTATTCAGGTGACAGAATCAACAACAAATATGTTGGCAAATGAGAAAAGTCTTTACTTGAAATCACTTTGTTATACTGATGCAGTACAACCAACAGCGTTTCATGTTCTAAGAAATGTTTATGACTTTTTAAATTATCTTCAAAATGCACATAATTTATTTCTAGGTACATTTTTTAAAATCTGTCATATGTCTCTTCAGTTGTTGTTTGATGTTTATGTCATAGCAGTGAGAAGTAGAATTGTGTATTCAATGCTCTACAAAGGCACACCAGGTCTAGTTTCCTGCTGGAAGGGGCTAAGATGAATTCTACACCCCCAAGAAGCCCAGAAAATAATGTGCAGGTTTTATTTATAATATATTTCCATTCAGATTTTGTTTTGCTGATTAAAGCAATGTGGAACAGCTGGAAAATTCAATGTCTTAATCTTGCCTTGAGGACAGGGCATAAATTGGCAAGTGTTCTTACTTACAAAAGTACATTTTAGTTGATTGCACTTAAAATTTATGGAAGAACAAATGTGGCATGTTTTTCTGAGTAAATGAAACAAACTCCATCACTGTTGTTGCAAACATTTCTTTACTGCCTTGGTTTGACTTTCTGATTTTTTTTCCCATTATTATTGCAACTCAGCACCAATGGAGTTACAGATTTTTCCTCAGAAACATTCTGAAAGTATCTCTCTTAATGTGCCTGAAGCTGATAAAAATGAATAGATGAAGTTATGGTTTACTTTTCTCTTAATTCTCTCTTAAAATTGACTTTGCTAAGAAAGGCAGAACAAGCAAGAAAAAAGACACATTTGCCTTCATCTCCTGCCTACTTTTCTTGTTGTAGTAAATGTTAAGACAGATAAATTTCTGGTGCTTTCAACAGTGCTTTCAAATCTTCATTTTGCCCTAAAATTCATTCATCTAAACTTCTCACTGGTAATAGTCTTAATTTCTTATAGAAGTGTCTTGCAGAATACATAATACCTGTCTCTGTCAGAGCTCCCATAAATCCTGTTCTGAGAGGTCATCTCTCCAGCAGCAGAGTGCCAGCTGAGGGAGCTGCCATGGCTTCGTCAAGTAGATGACTCCTAACAAAACCAAATCTCCATTACATTCACATTTTCCTTGTACATCATTTGACTGGCAGGAGATTAGCCCTTACACTGTATTATTTTTATCCAGCATATTCCTTTTCATTTTTTGTCATTTTCTGGTTACTGTCATTTCTAGCTAATGGCCATGAAAGCTTGTGACATGAGCAGACCACTTGCTCTCTCCATTTTCTGGTGGGTGTGTTCCATCATGGGACTGTGGTCCCCACTGAGCATTTTTCTTTGATCAACAATTCATAAGGGAGAGCTGATTCCCATGGGAAAGGAAGAACTGTAATAGAAGAGAAATAAAGCTGTTCTTTTCCCACTTCTCCCCTTTCTTACCCACACCCCAAGAAAAAATTGAATAGAAAAATTTTAGCTATGTTTTTAGCTATGTTTTCCTTAATTTCTGTTTTAAAATTTAGTGAAACTGACTTCCCAATTATAAAATAGGTGAAATCACTACATGTCCAATCACACTAAAATGGATGTTTATAGATGGAAACAAATTATTATTGGATCTTGGAGGAAGATCAGCTAATTAGTATCTATACACACAGAACACACACCCATGAATGTCCAGTAATCACTCCCAATTTCCTTCGCAAATTTCATTATAGCAAAGCAACTGCTTGTCCTTGTTTCCAGAGGCATTTTGTAGTCTTGTGTGTCAGTGCTCACTTCTCTGGAAGGCAGAATATTCCTTTAATCATTACACTTTCAGGAATGTCCCACTTTGGTTAGCTCATATGGTGGTGTGTTAGCAAGGTCTACAACTGTTTCCTGTGAGAAGAAAATTCTAAGGTAACTGTTAGCAGTGGGAATGAGTCACTTGATAGGATTGCATCCTACATTTGAGATCTGACCCCTTGTATACAACCAAGAGTTTGGTGTTATGTAATGTTGTCCCTTGTCTCTTGTTCCCTATCTCTCCTTGTTCAAAGCGTTTGAACAAAAGAAGGTCTCGCTCCCTGTAGTGCTCATCTGTATACAGAAGCACTGGACACCAATGAATTTTAGTTTCACTAGTGCTCAGATGTGCATGGCTCACATGCATCCCTTCACATTCCTTTCCCTTCTATGCAGAGCATTGTAATTTGGTAGGTCCTGAAGGCAGACTGTCTTCTTCTGACATGCCATTACAGGAAAAAAAAAACCTCAAGAAATAAAACAACAAAAAACCCAAACCCAACTCCCCACCAGAATCACTTTGGTGCTTTTCTGTTCTAAAAAAAAAAGAATTGCTTATTATGTGTGGCCACAGGGGTTGGGGAATACACTCTGCCTTTCTCTGAGTCTGCAGGCAGCAGAATTCTGAACCTATTCAGGAGTGCCAGTATATGCCTGCTTTAGTTGAGCAGGCTCTCTTCTGCCAGACCCAAGTCCAACTCCTGTGGGAGCAATTCCCCACTATTCCTTCACAGGGTTGTCTGTCCCATGCCCTGCTCCATAATGCAGGCTGGCCCACGTGCAGCAGATTCTGCAGCTGTGTAGCACTGCTCCTGCAGCAGGTGAGACACACAAAGCTGCCAGGTAATCCTTCAGGCTGTGCCAGGGACAACAGGGTCCTGCACCCACAGTCTGACAGTGCCTGCCTCTTACGGGACCAGGCAAAGTCATCTGGATCAGCTCATCTGTCTGTGCAAGGGCAGGCAGGCTGGACATTCCACATGAAGTTGGTTTTGCCTGTGATTAATGCAGAGGTTGCTTGGACAGCACAGTCATCTGGGCAGCTTCCTGTGAACTTGTCAGTCACTTCTCAAGTAGTCCAAGCCTCCCCTTTCCACCTCTCAGCAGTATCTCCGTGAAGAAACCCTTCCATATAGTTCCTCCACCACACAGAGTCATTGATTCCCAGACCAGTTAATGTGTGTTTTACATGCCCCCTGAAGGTCCAGCAAAAACTGGGTGTGACATGCCTGTTCATACACCTCCCAGAACACACACTGCCCTGCTTACCCTTCTTTGGGTCACAGTTTTAGCTCACATGATGTTTTAAGGCTGCAGAAACAAGTGCAACCTGCTTAGCAGTGTCTGACCCCAATAAAAAGGTCTGATCAATAGAGAAGCTGATCCAGGACAGATCAATGTAGCCAAGTAGAACAGCTCCTCACCTTCCTGCTGTCATAGTTTTCCTCTGAGATCACCCTGTCTTGTGACTGAAGCTTTCTATTTTGAAGCGTATGGGTCCAGTTCCCTCTCCAACCGTTTCAATCCTGAAACCACAGAGGGCTGCTGTTTCATGCATCACAAGATTCATTAGGAAGTCTGTCTTTCTTTTCCTTAGCACATAACAGTGGTGGATTAACGCTTAAAGCTTATCAAAGCCTATTTATACCTTCCACTGTCAGTGAGGACCTGGTTTTGGTGGCAGTTGAATATCAGAATGATTTGAGCTGGACAAGACCACCAAAGATCATGTACCTCCAACTCCCTGCCATGGGCAGGGACACCTTCCACCAGACCAGGTTGCTAAAAACCCCATCCAACCTGGCCTTGAAGGCTTCCAGGGATGAGGGATCCCCAGTTTCTTTGGAAAACTTGTTTCAATGTCTCATGACTTTAAACAAAAAAATAATTAAAAAAAAAATAATAAATTCTTCCCTATATCCAATGTAAATCTATCCTCTTTCATTTTAAAACCAGTGCCCCTTGTCCTGTGACTACAGGCTCTAGTGAAAAGTCTTGGTTGCCTGTGCTCTTGTCTACTTTTTAAAAAGGCTTTTCCAGAAGTTAAATATTTAACTTTTTGGCTTAATACTGTATTTATATTCTGTCCAATTCAAGAAGCTATCTTACTAAGTGCTCTTTTCTTATTTTAATGGCTCTCAGGGATGCAACTTCTCTGCTCATCTTGGATGCCAGGAGGGTGTTGGCTTTTCTGTTGTTGCTACTGTTTTTATCCTGTGCAGAAAGACCCTTTCAGAAAGTTAGTTTCTTCACATCCATACCTTAGCTATTCCCAAGCCCCAGAGCATTCCTGGTATTTGAGTGGGGTCTTCTTCTGGTCCTGCATGCTCTGGTGTAAGCTACTACTGCTAGAGGTGACAGGTGGTGTGTACATGCTGACAAGCATTTGACAGGTTGCTGACCAGCAGCTGGAGCTCACTGACATATTGCAACACACCTCTTCACTTGTTTCTCACAGCACCCCTGGAGATTAGGGCAGCCACTTAGAATAGCAAGAATAAGTGGAATTAGGGAACAGAGGATGCATCTCATTTATTTCCATAGCAGCTGGTGGAAGCTCCAACAGAGTGGTGACAGCAATGCCCACAGTGAAAGTACAGCCTGCTGTCTTACTCTGGGTGCTTGGTCTGCAGAGTCCCTTCACTTCCGCAGAGTAAGGATCCAAAATCCCATAGGAAAGCTTTCCAGGATCATGTCCTCTTAAGAACCATTTTTTAAAAGGTCACTATGCCTGTAAATCAATAGCTAGATATGTATCTGTGTAGCTTTAAACAGCTACACAATAAAAAAAAAACACCCCAAACCAAGCAAAACAAAATGAAAAACCAAAACCCAATCAAACTAAAAACAACAAAGCAGAAAACAAACAAAATAACAACCCCAAAAACCAAACCAACAAAACAAAACCAAAATAGCACACATTTTAGCTATGCCTGAAGAAAGCAATAAATTATTCTAAACTCTTCACTCAGCAACTATCGCTATGAGGCTGTGGAGAGGTACACCCGGTTTAAACACAGCTATTGAGTAGCTGTTGGCATGAAAGAAAAAGTGTCCTGGAATATGCTCCTGCTGTCTCTTCAGGGCTGTCTTTGTCCAGACCAGGCTGGGAGCAGACCCAGACTGCATGAACAGTAGCTATTTGCTCCTACTGGGCAGCTTTCCTGCAGACACACACTTGTGTGTGCCTGTCTA